AAAACCAAATTGTTTACCACAAACAATATCGTTTACTGATTGGCACAAATTGGCAAGAAATGTAGATGAATTAAAATTTTCACATGATGGGGAGATTAATTCGAGGAGAATATTGCCCTTATAACACAGAGTACGTTTTTGTATGATCAAAAGATTGTCATGTACTACGCGATAGTGAGTACTTCATCACAGTATTTGTTTGGGGGCAGTTTAAATTTACATATTTACGCCATACTATATTAGATGAGTTTTAATAACATAGTAAAGTTTTCTACTAACAAAAACAGTTTCTGATTTAATTACTTATTATTGCTAAGAGCTGAAATTACTTACCACATTACAGACATTTTTGAAAAAAAAAGCATTTGTTTTGCTACTCTTGTATGAATTAATTATAGTTAAAGCAAAGTGCTGATATCACAATCTTAAACTCGTCCAATAAACCTCAAAAAATTGTGCAGTATACTCTGAAATAAATCTTATACGTAACGATTTTTAGTTATTAACAAAAAATAGTTAAAAAACATGTTTTTGGTCTATTTAATTACGAATAACATGAAAAGTATTGGTTTTATATAAAAAAGGTCAGTTCATATGCCATTTTTTTCTATCGATTTTCTTAAAATTTGATTTTCTTTCGACTGCTGAGGTTATTTTTATGTTATAAATTTACAACCCTGAGAAGGGGTGCATAGATGCAATAACATGTAGGAAGTTAATTGTCACATTTTTACACGAATTAAAAAAACAATATCCTACGACCCTTAAAACCGCAGTTAGCCCTTTTTTTTAAATTCACCGGAGCTTTGTTTATAAACAATAAGCAGTTTAAAAAGAAGCATTTAAAAGATTAAGAGTTTAAGTTTGAAAAAAAATTAAAAATGATTCCTTTTAAAATTAGCCGCCCATGATGGGTCAAAGATAAAGGGACCTAATTTCAAAGCGATTTTACTATTTCAACAACTTTATGCAGTGGCAACCTTTTCATCATTTAATAAATTCAAATTTATAAAAGTCGCAATATTTGCGGTTTTAATAAACGAAAATGTTTCTTTATTTGGCTACCTCGTAGCACAAATCATAAACATTTATTTATTTAGTAAATGTAAAATTAACACGTATAGATTTTATTTTCAAATTAAAAATTAATTTTTTTGTAAAATTTATTTTTAAGATATTTACTTAAGTAAAGAGTCCTCCGCTTACTCGAAGGACATCTCTATGTCTGACCACCGCTGCCTAATCTATAATATTAGGCTGAAAAAAAAACCTTATCAAATCACGCGACCCTAGGAGGACGGATGTAGAACTCTACAACCGACTCTTAGAAGATGCTCTGAAATGAAAAAGCTTCAACTCCAGGAAAGGTATACAGTATCTCTTCAAAACAAAATAAGCTATATTTATAAAAAAATCCTGTCTGTTCACGCCACTATCTATTTAAGTTTAATTAATGAATTTTTTTCAAAGCGGCAACGCAGCAGTCTATGCGTGTGCAGATATAATGTCATATGTGAAGATTAGAACAGAGTCCCTAAGAACATCCCAAGACGACAGCACTCAAATACGGGACGAGATCAGTGATACACTGTCTAATAAGGATGATTCAGGAATGTCGCAAAACCAACTCTTGATCGTGCACTGAAGGTGAACACCTTAGGAAGACAGCAAGAACAGCTTTTAATAGAGTAAAATGCACCAAACTCAAAGAGGATTGGAATTCTTATCAATAAAATCTCAGAGAGTTTAAAAAAGTCTGCAGACAAAGACAAAGAGCTGCTTGAAAAACCTTGTGAGGAAATCGAAGATTTCTCGCAGGCTTCCAGGCTACAAAATGCGCTTTCAAATTACCTACATCGGCATATTAACGAAGGACGATGAAAGCAAAACTTCCAACCTTTACAAAGTGCTGAGATCCTGATGAAAACACAGTTCCCCGGTTCTAGAGCCTAAGCAGCATGAAACTGGACGAAAGAAGCAATCGTACCCTTACTAAACGACTGCCACCAGAACAATGATTAATGAGGAAAAGGTAAGATGGGTCATACTGTGCTTCAACTTCTTTGAAATAACCAGGGCCTGACGACCTTATATCCAGCCCTACTACGGTGGGGACTGGATATCCTTCTGCCGCACCTTGTAGGAATATTCAGAACCCCTTTGGCCTAAAGATATAATCCTAGGAAGTGGAGAGAGGTACGAGTGGTCTTCATACCCAAACCAGGTAGGATGTACTATACTCTACTAAAGTAGGTTTGGCTTTCCGACCAAATAGCCACATCCTTTCTCTTGAAAACGATAGAAAGGCTATGCTAGAGGTACATAAGCGATGAAGTTCTGGTCCATAATCCATTTAACCCAAATCAGAATGCATATACTTTGGGAAAATCTACCGATTCTGCACTGTATTAAGTAGTGAAAAGAATTGAAAGATCTCTGGATAATAAAGAATACACCCTAGGTACATTCATAAACTTTAAGGGAGCGTTTGATAAAACCATATTCCCAACCATCATCCAACAGCTCAGCAATGTCAGGCTCAATAGTCCCCTGGCCGTAAGCGAATGGATATTCGGTATGCTCTCTAATAGAGCAATAAGCATGAATGTAGAAGACGTTTCTGTTAGAGGCACGGTTACGAGTGGGTGTCCACAGGGAGCAATGCTATCACCACTCCTCTGGAACATAGCTCTAGACACCCTGATTGACCAACTCAGCAGCAAAGGGTTCTACACAATAGGCTATGCATACGATATTTTTGTCCTGCAAAGACGTAAGTTTAAGAATACACTATTATTACAAGTTGCTCTCCGAGTAATAGAAACATAGTGCAAGGAACACTCACTATCTATAAATCCTAAGATAACAGAGATGGTCCTCTTCACCAAAAAAGAAGAATCACGGGCTTAATACCCCCAAGGATTCTAAACTACATACAGTCTAAACTTTTCTGACGAGGTGAAGTACCTTGGTATTACCCATGACAGAAAGTTAACACGGAACTGACACTTGATGTGTTAGATGATAGAGCATATATTGCATATTAGCAGAATCGACGAACAGTCGGACGCACCTGGGGCATTTCGCCCAGGGTGATTGTCTGAGTCTACACTGCTGTAATTACACCAATGTTAACTTACAGAGCTATTGCTTGGATACCAAAAGTGCTACAGGCAACAAACAGCGATTGACAAAACAGCACCATGAAAACAACACCAACTGCTGCAATGGAGTTTCTCATTGGCATAACGCCTCAAGACATATATGTCAAAGAGGTGGCACTGGTGACACGGATGCGGCTGCGGCGCTCAGCTGATGCAAACCTAGATGTAGGAATAGGACAATTGAGAACTCGTTTCTGACGGGGAGAGCTCTACAGGCTGCGACTCAATTAAACCAAAGTTTATCTTTGACAAACCCTACAAAATCGAACAAGACAGTATAGGGGGGAGACAAACGTCGCAAATGCCTATTGCATATACACCGCTGCTTCAAAATGGACGAAGGCTCAGGATGCGGGATATACTCCACATCACTGAACCTAAGAATAAAGTGGGGTATGTGCAAAAATGCCAGCGTAGTTTATACAGAACTGACTGGTATCTCCATAGCCCCAGAGATTACCCAAAAAGGTATAGTCGGGAAAACTATAATAATCTGCACAGATAGCAGACAAGCGCTACTAACCTTGAGTAGACCAAGTGTCACATCAGGGTTAATAATGAAAAGTCACGAGTCACTAACTCAAGCTTCTGATGTTAATACCACCATCCTAAGGTGGGTTAAAGAACACAATAGCAATAAAGGCAACCGCATTGCTGACCAATTGACTAGGAAGGCCTTTTAGGACCTGGGGATCTTTTTGGTTAATAAACTACAACAATCGCGGAAATTGTCAAATGTCACTCCCATGCGCAAACCGTGAAAAGATGGGAGCAGGGGCAAGCATGTAGCCAGGGTAACACCAAGTAACCTTGAAAAATCAGCTCAAAGAAGTACTTGGGAATGACCAGGAAAAACCTACACTTGACAGTTGGTTTTTTATCTGGTCATTGTCAACTACGCCAAAACCTTCACACACTGGGGCTATGTAGGATATATACCTCTATGAAGAAAGTGTGAACGAAAAGACGAAACTATAGAACATGTCCAATGTGAATGCTCAGAGTTGTCGTTAATACGAGAGAACGCGTTCGGCCAGTCCTGGCCTACACCTGCCCACATAAGGGAGATATCTCATGGTGACTTGTCCACCTTTCTAGAAATGGCAGGAAGGACAATGAGGCGGAAGGACGGCAGCTCCCTGGAGGGATGCACAATGGGTCAAATGTGGCCTAAGTGCTGTGGAACTTAACTCGACCTCCGTACTCTACAGATACAGATACTTAAATAAGTAAAAAATACATAAATATTTAGGTTATATTTCATAACCACAACAAATAAGAAAAGTAAAATTTTGCAAAATAAACATTTATTTTAATTCGTTTAAACAAATGGTTAAATAAACAATTCACAAAATGACTAATTGCATTTTTATAATCTATGCAACTAGGTACGAGATTTTACGTTGATTAAAACCGGAGATATTGCGACTTTTATAAATTTGAATTTATGAATTTAGTTATTGAAATAGTAAAATCGAGAAATAAAAAAGGGCTTCCTCGGATTCTAAGGGTTATACGACTTTGTATTTTTTTAACATTCGCGTAAAAATGACAAAATTTTGAATAAACAAGTAAAAAATTGCGTTTCATGTTTGGCATATTGTGTTTCTTACATATTTTTATTATCCAATTTATTAAAAGCAGTTGTTAGACACCTGTATGAAAGAGTGTCACAAAAAAAACTTTTTATTTGCTAATTTATCTGGTCTATTAAGAAATAATACATTGGATGAACAATAATTATCTCAATAACTTAAATTAAAATATATTAATTGTCTGCAATGTGGATAAGCGTTAAAAATACAAACCACTCAAATTGTTATCTCAAAAATACAGCTACAACAGCAGGCCAAACAACAAATCTATAACCACCACCGTACCTTCCAAGGATTCAACAAAAAGATCCCAAATAGTACCTTTGAACTTGGTCAAGTTCTCCTCGTATCCATGCGGCTTCTCGTCTGTCTTTCTGTACTTTTCCGGAGGAGCATCGTAGTAAGAACCTTCCTTCGGATCGAAGCCTAATTTTTCCTTGTAGTAGTTTTGTGTCGACATTTCTCGGTCACAATTTTTTAAAACATTACACGCGCACTAATTATTTTTAATTTTTCGAAGTGTTTTATTTTGTTAGTTGCAGTTGAGCTTAAATTCAGGAATGTATACGTTGCGATTCGTTTTTATTTCGTTGTTCGTTTGGTGACTACACTGAAAATAAGGTTTTCTTTTAAAATAATACTCTATTTTATTACGTCAAATACAAGTTTCCTTCTAAAGTCACGAGGTCATCCTCTTCACAAAAAAATATATTTAATTAACACTAATTACTAGAACCAAAAACAATTATGCATGTTACAGTTTTGAAATCCTAAGATTTCCTACTTGGCAAAACTAAATTCAACTTTTTACCACTGCGCTTTCTACAATTTGAAAAGCAGACAGATTTATAAATTACCACTGTGCTTTCTAAAACTTGCAAAGCAGGCTGATTAATAAATTGGTCGACGGTTGAAGGGAATCAATAATTTTCATTCCACATGCCGTTCATCACGGCAAAAATTCTTAGTGAATTTAGTTTCTAGTACTCAAAACCGAGTAAAGAACTAAAACAAAGACGTTATTAGATTTAAATTTAATGCAGGGCATCCTTCATCCTAATATTTCAACCTAATTAGACATTATCAGGCTCTGCCACTGCATATGTCGCTCTGATGATATCTAATGAGGTTGAAATATGTATCAGCGACTGGAGGATGCCCTGCGTTAAAATTAAATCTAATACCGTCTTTCTGTAATAGAAAAAAAACAACATACAATCAGCACAAATTCCTCCGTGAGCCGTGAGAATTTATTGTACTTAGGGACTATTCAATGACGACTTAACTAGAGATATCAGAAGAACTTCTGCCGATAATTACCGTCCAATATCTAGCTTCTTAGAGCAGTTAAAGAAATTAAAAGAAATAAAGCTCCTGGAAGCGATGGAATCCTAGCAGAAATACTGAAGAAAGGCGGAGAGAAGAAGCCATCACATATCTAAAAATATTATGTAATAAATGTCTAGTCGAAGGCTACATACCCGAACAATGGAATACTGCTAAAACAATACTAATACACAAAAAGGGAGACACCACAGACCTAAAAAACTATCGACGAATTTCACTTCTTTCACAACTTTACAAAACCTTTAAAAAGATTATTACAAACAGGTTAACAATTAAATTTGACGGATATTAACCAGTAAAACAAGCCAGATTTAGAAAAGGTACATCTGTGACCATCTATATACGTTAAAAATCCTAATATAAAAGACTAACGAATACAATCTCCCATTATATCTGGCTTTTATAGATTATGAAAAAACTGTTGATATCGTAGAGCTGTTGGAAATAGTAGAAGCATTAGTCAAAAACTGGATCGACTCCAGGTACAGAATATTAATACATAATACTTACGAACAACCTAAAATGATAGTGACGTTGGGTAATGGAATTGAAACAAGACCAGTAAAAAAGTAACCGAGGCGTAAGACAAGGAATCAAAAGACTGATATTTTTTTGTACACACTTATGACAAGTCGAAAGAAAATGCAAAAAAGTATTTTTGAAGTGTGTATATTTTAGGCAATTCCTAGCTGAGCGCTTTCGGCTTTACAAAGCCATCATCAGAGCTATGCTACAATAAAATGTTCTTATAAGTACTAATTGGTAAAGATTATAATTTTTAACTTACGTCAATTTTTTTTTAAATACCACTACAAAGGAGAGATCTTATTTCCTTATATTTCAAAATTATGATTTTTTTAGTTGTTGAAATTTGTTAAAACATATAAAAAACATATAAAAAGCCGACACTGGACTTCACAAACACGTTAAAAAATTGAAAAAATTTTTGTCATGGTACGGGTGTAAGAACCCGACCATTGATTGATGTGAGGATGTGGACAGAATAGAACTAATGAAATCAAATGTCGGTCCTTTTAAACAATTTTTCAAAAGTGACAGTTGACAAATGTCATATATAGGAAATAGAGATTGTTTTTTTAAATTCTTACAAAATTATTTAATAGCTTGGAAATTACTAATAGTCATCAAAGACTTTCTAAGAATTAAGTTTTTAAATTAAATTTTATGTGTTCATCACATCATACAGAATGACATTAGTTTGTAAATTCACTCAAGTCATTGCTCAAGGTCAATGTATGTTCAATCTGACAGCTATCCTTAAGAAACAAGGGCTCAAATTGTTCAACAACAATATAAAGAAGAAACATGGTATTAATGTTACGTTATCTGATACTTAAGTATATTGAGAATTGTATCTCTTGATGGAAATTTGTAAGAAATTTGCATAAATTTTTTTAAGAATGTATTTTCATGTTTCAATTAAGAACAACTGTCAAATGAATTACAAAATTTTGTAAATTTCTAATAAAGTTTAAAATTTGTTTAAAATATAAAAGTATGAAAAATATATAATAAGATTGCATGAGGTCACCCTTCTTCCTCTAAAGTCTCCCATAATAGCAATTATAAACCTCTTTTTAAATTATTATGGGAGACTTTAGAGGAAGAAGGGGACCTCATGCAATCTTATTATATATTTTTCATACTTTTATATTTTAAACAAATTTTAAACTTTATTAGAAATTTACAAAATTTTGTAATTCATTTGACAGTTGTTCTTAATTGAAACATGAAAATACATTCTTAAAAAAATTTATGCAAATTTCTTACAAATTTCCATCAAGAGATACAATTCTCAATACACTTAAGTATCAGATAACGTAACATTAATACCATGTTTCTTCTTTATATTGTTGTTGAACAATTTGAGCCCTTGTTTCTTAAGGATAGCTCTCAGATTGAACATACATTGACCTTGAGCAATGACTTGAGTGAATTTACAAACTAATGTCATTCTGTATGATGTGATGAACACATAAAATTTAATTTAAAAACTTAATTTTTAGAAAGTCTTTGATGACTATTAGTAATTTCCACACTATTAAATAATTTTGTAAGAATTTAAAAAAACAATCTCTATTTCCTATATATGACATTTGTCAACTGTCACTTTTGAAAAATCGTTTAAAAGGACCGACATTTGATTTCATTAGTTCTATTCTGTCCACATCCTCACATCAATCAATGGTCGGGTTCTTACACCCGTACCATGACAAAAATTTTTTCAATTTTTTAACGTGTTTGTGAAGTCCAGTGTCGGCTTTTTATATGTTTTTTATATGTTTTAACAAATTTCAACAACTAAAAAAATCATAATTTTGAAATATAAGGAAATGAGATCTCTCCTTTGTAGTGGTATTTAAAAAAAAATTGAGAAGTTAAAAATTATAATCTTTACCAATTAGTACTTATAAGAACATTTTATTGTAGCATAGCTCTGATGATGGCTTTGTAAAGCCGAAAGCGCTCAGCTAGGAATTGCCTAAAATATACACACTTCAAAAATACTTTTTTGCATTTTCTTTCGTAAGACAAGGAGACACAATATCTCCAAAATGGTTTACAGCTGCCCTAGAAGATATCAGAAGTCAATAGACTGGAAAAATAAGGGAATCCCTATTAATGGAAGATAATTGAACCATCTTAGATACGCAGATGATGTAGTACTAATAGCCGACACGTGGAATGCACTGAATACGATGATTGAGGAACTACACACTAATCCCTAAAAAAAGGATAAAAATGAATTTCAGCAAAACTAAACTAATGTCAAACAAAGATGACACCTATGATAAACATCCAAGAGACAGCGATAGAACACGTAGATGAATATACATCTACGTCACATACGCAGATGTGTAAAAATGGGATGGGCAGCATTCGGAAGACTCTCATACGTACTTCTCAAAGACTGCGAACCAAAGTGTTTAATTCCTGTATCCTATTTGTACTTACATATGGAGCTCAAACCTGAACATTCGCTAAATTAAACATTGATAAAATCAGAAAAACTCAGAGAGCTATGGAACGACAGACGCTGGGTATCTCATTCAAAGATCGTAAAACCAATGAAGACAGTCGTAATAAAATAAAAGTAAAAGATGCCGTCAAACATCTAGGTATCTGTCGAAAGGCAGCTAAACTGAAATGGAAATGGAATGGACATAACGAACGTCTTAAGGATGGCCGATGGAATAAAGAAATCGGGAAGTGGCGGCCATAAGAATGCAAAAGACCACGAGGAAGACCGCAAATGCGCTGGATCGACGATATTAAAAGAACTGCAGGAACAATGCGGAAACGTCTTACAAACAACAGAGATGAATGGCGAAAGTTATGAGGGGCCTATATTCGGCAATCTGAATGGAGAGAAGCATTAAAAAAAATCTAGCTACTTGTGAAAACGAATGGACAAACAAACAAAGCAAACAAGAAAAAGAAATAATGCTGCCTTATTCATCCACAAAAGTAGTTTCCATTACTGGTCATATTTCCGAACATGAAAAGAAACTATTGAAAACTCATAAGCAAAGCCGAGATTAAACTCAGAAAGGACCAAAAGAGAAATAGAGAGCGAGTATGAGCGACGCAGCTAAGAAAAGCTTAAAGAAGCTGTTGAATCAAGCCCTCGACCAAAATAGCCTTAACAGGGCCTCTAGAGAGACTTATGCAACTAAAGAAAGAAAGCGGCTATCTCCGCCTGAACATGAATACGACTAAACTAAGACCGTGGTCATAGATCGAAATTAAAACTTGTATGGACTTCTTGTATTGGGCTTCTGAATAATTGCAGCAATCTAGACCTACACCTAGAAGTAAGAACAAGGATAGAAATGGCAAGATGAAGCCCTCATTACGCGACCACAGCCTCAAAATAACATCCAGGATTTGATTTATTAACTGCTAGGTGTATTCTATTTTATTGTATGGGGTAGAGGCTTTGATCAGTAAAAGTTGAGACAATGATTCGCCTTGAGGCATTAAGGATTTATAAGGAAAAACGAAAAGATGAAAAGTTACGAGATTACATTTTGAAAGGCGCAATTTTATCTTTTTGATGTGTGGGGCTGGTTAGTAAAAAGCCGGCTCCAC